CTTTCTTTCTTTCTTTCTTTCTTTCTTTCTTTCTTTCTTTCTTTCTTTCTTTCTTTTTACCTGTCTGGTCTGAGATCTTCCCCTTTGGGCATGGAGTGCAATCATAACAGCAAAATGATTGTCCTTCAATTTTGATCTTCCTGTAACCTGAATGGCACTTCTCATTACAGAGTGAAAGAGGCCGTTCCTGTCCAAGAATGAAAAAAAGATAATTTGAACTATAGAAAATGAGTTTTCAAATCCCTCCTGTTACTCAGGTTGGAGTCAGTTTATGACATTAGAAGGCAAAGTAGATGAAAGGAAACTAGATGTGTGAAGACAAAACTGAAAATTGAATAGTCAATTTCAGCTTTCATCAAACATAGAAACAAACTGTTTCCCGAAACACTCAGATGAGTCTTGATGAAACAAGACATAATATTATGAAATTTCTCCTTTTAGTCAGGTGAAACCCCTCTAGAATCAAGCTCAACTTCTGTTGAGTAGATGGACCCATCTCGTTCTTTGTTGACTATAATACTGGTGTAGGTTTCCATTGCATTTATTTTTTATTTGTTTATTTATGCAATTATTCGACTTCTCAACTAGCCTAAATCAGAGAATTTCCACCAAGAGTAATTAGATGCTGCCAAGTACATGCACCATGATTTTAGATTGTTTCAAAATATAATAATTGATATTTTGTGGTCATCTTATCCAACTCTGCTGGATAAGGCCTTCAATTTATCTCTCCAAATTCTACCCCAATAGGGTCCCTGCTTAAAAGAGCAATGATCTAGCCTGAATATGCAATTTGAAAAAGTCAAAACTAGTAGAAACCATTTCAGAGAGTCTGGGGGATGTACTTCCTCCAATCATCCAGATGGAATTAACTATGATTAGAGAAAAAGAAAGGAAGATCTCCAAGATGCCTCTGTATCCAATAGGAATGTCTCCATAGTTGACAATGTTTTTAACATCAGTGCAATCAGTAAGAAATTGTACTGGGTTTTATGATAGTCCTTCTGTTTCTACAAAGGGCACTCATCATCCAGTTCAGAGGGAAGGAATGATATTTCCTCACTTCAGCAATATGATTATACAATTCCAGAATGATAAATTTAGATGCAGAAAATTTGCATGAAAATCTTTATATTCAAGAATGGTAAACTCCGCAAGACCAATCTTAAAATCAAAATCAAAGCCTTCGACAATACTTAAAATCACTGTTGCTATACAATAGGATATCTGCAAAGCAAATTAAAAAGAAACTGATCAGAAGTGCACATTTCTTCAGAACATGGGGAACAGCATATATATGCTTTCTATTGAGGTATGAACCTGAATATTCATGAGTGGCCATTGTAAAACTGAACCAGTCCATTTTGAAATGAGATGGACCTCACCTGATTAAACCGGTTGGGCCAAATGATCTTCTCTTCAGAAATAGTCAGCAGTTTGTGAGAGGCTCTCCCTGGATCCATCCTTCCAACTTTGACTCTAAGAAACGTCTGGTTTGGGAAAGTGATCCAGTTTATAATGTCAAAACCTGCAACTAATTCCCCATTTTTATCAAAGGAAATATTCTCTCCAGGACTGCTATTAAATGATATGCTTCGCAGTAAGTGGTGGAGCTTTAAAAAAGGGGATGAAAAGGTTTAGATCAGCGTCCATATTGTAGTTTACTGTCCTTCAAAACTTTCACTTTGCTACTGTAATAGATTCTAGGAATTCAACAAATAAAACATGCAATCATTTTATACACAACCTATAAAGTATTTAGAAGTAACCATTATTATAATGATTTCACTTATATCTTGCATATATTATGACAAAGTGCTGTAAATTGGAGAACCATATATTTTCTTACTAGTGAATGATATAGGATCCAGATA